GGCTGAAGGCTGAAGGCAGACTGGCAGGCTGAGGCTGAGGCAGGCTGAGGCTGCTGAGGCTGAGCAGGCTGAGGCTGAGGCTGAGGCTGAGGCTGAGGCTGAAGCGAGGCCGACGGCAGACTGAAGCTGAGGCCGAGGCTGAAGGCAGACTGATGCTGAGGCTGAAGCAGTCTGAGGCTGAGGCTGAGGCAGGCTGAGGCTGAGGCAGGCTGAGGCTGAGGCTGAGGCAGGCTGAGGCTGAGGCTGTGACTGCGACTGCCGTTGCCACTGCGACTGTCATCGCGAATGCGACTACGACTGCGAGAACAGCAGAATTCTACAACTGGATTCTCATCTGAATCTTAAGGGGAATGCTTCCAGATATGCTCCTACACATCGCTGTTAGGTTGCTTTGCCGGGATAATTTAGGCTTTTTCTGGCCTTCCTGGAGACCCTCTTGCAGGCCTCTTGGGCCGTCTTGGGCCATCTTAAGGCCATCTTCGGCCGTCTTGGTGGGCTCCTGGCACGTCTGACGCCATCGGGAGCCGTCTTGGGGGCCTCTCTGGGCCGACTTGGGGCCCTCTTGGGGCGCTTCGGGGCCGTCTTAGAGGCCAGCCTGGCCGTCTTGGAAGCTTGGCCCGTCTTGGGGCCCTCTTGGGGCCGTCTTGGGGGCTTCTTTGGTCGTCATGGGGCCATCTTGGAGGCCTCTTGGGCGATCTTGGGGCGACCTTGCGGGCCTCTTGGGCCGTCTTGGGCCGACGGAAAGCCGAAAAGGCGCAAATACCAACATCCTTTTTTAACTTAAAAACCTACGGGGAATCAATGATGTTCGCCTCTTCGGGCCTTCCTGGAGGACCTCTTGGAGGCCTCTTGGTCCGTCTTGGAGGCCTCTTGGGGGCCTCTTGGGCCCATCTAGCGCCGCCTTGGGTGCATCTTGGGCCGTCTTGGAGATGTCGTGGGGCCATATCAGCTGTCTTGGAGGCCATCTTGCCCGTCTTGGAGGCATCTGGGAGGCCATCTTGGGCGTCTTGGAGGCCATCTTGAGCGTCTTGGGGGCCTCTTGGACCGTCTTGGGGCCCTGTTGGGGCCGTCTTGGGGGCCTCTCGGGCCGTCATGGGGCCATCTTGGAGGCCTCTGGGACGATGTTGCGCCGATCTTGGGGACCTCTTGGGCCGTCTTGGACCGTCGGAAAGCCGAAGAGGCGCACATCCCAAAATTCTTTAAAAACACCTAAAGAACTTCAATGATTTTGGCCTCTTCGGGCCTTCCTGGAGGACCTCTTCGACGCGTCGTGGGCGTTCTTGGAGGCCTTTTGGGCCGTCTGGGGCCATCTTGAGGCTATCTTAGGCCGTCTTGGATGAATCTTGACCCGTCTGGGAGGCATCTTGGAGCCATCTTCGCCGTCTTTGAGGCCATCTTGGCCGTCTTGGATGCATCTTGGAGGCCATCTTGGGCCGTCTTGGAGCCACCTGGAGTAGGGAAAACCTTTGCAACCAGGTTTTGAGATCGTTTCCGGGTGGCCGGCGGGACGGGCCGACGCCCCAGGGGGAGTTCTTTTGGAAAAAGAACCAAAACCATATAGTTTGGCCCTCTGGGCACCCCTTTGATAAATCAAAAGGGGGCGGCGGATCCTAGTGGTCTTCGGCCCATCACGCCACCGTGTCCGGGTTGTGGGTCTGAGACCTCTTGTATATGTGTTGGGGTGTCGTGGGGAGCCTCTCGGTGGCCTCTTGGATGCTGTTTCGGCGCCTTTGGGGGGCCTCTTGGGGCCTGGTGGGGTATCTTAGTGGCCTCTTGGATGCCTCTTTGGCGCGTCTTGGACGCCTCTTGGGGCCTCTTGGGGCCTCCAGGGGGCTTCTCAGGGCTTCTCGGAGCGCTTCTTGTGCCATCTTGGAGCCCTCTCGGGCCGTCTTGGGGCCCTCGTGGAGGCGTCTTGGGCTGTCTTGGGGTGGTATTGGGAGCTTTTTTGAGCCATCTTGGAGCGTCGGAAAGCCGAAAATGTTAGAACCCCAAACTCCTTCAACCATGTTTTGTAAAATCGACGATGTTGGTCTCTGGGGGCTTTCTCTGGAGGCCTCTTGGAGCGCTCTTGGGGCCCTCTTGGGCCGTCTTGGAAACATCTTCGGGCCTCTTGGAACACTCTTGGCCTCGGCAATACGAATACGGCGCAATTTGCGATGGCTTTTGGCCACGCGGACGCGAAGATCGAATCATTTACCAAGGTTGGTTACCTCGGGGGCGCAAGAATGGAGCAACTTGTAAGGGCTTGTGGCTTCGGGAACGCGACTGTGGCGTACCTTGCCAAGGATTCTGGCTCCGGGGACGCGACTGATGAGCAAAATGTGTAAGGGGTTCTGGTCTCGGGTGCACGATCATGGTACACCTTACAGAAAGGATGCCGGCTTCGGCGACGCGATACTTGCGTAGCGCACAAGGGTTTGTTGCCTCGGGGGCGCAACCCTTGAGTCATTTGCAGGGCTTTGTTGCCTCGGGGAAAAACTTGTAGAACGTGCGAAGGTGAGTGGCCTCGGGGGCGCGGAGATTGTAGACTGTGCAAAGGTTTGCTGCCTCGGTGACGCAACCATTGAACATTCTGCGAGGGTCACTGGCCTCGGGGACGCGAACATTGCATGATTTACAACAAGGAATCCTGGCCTCGGGGGCGCAACTGCGGGGGCGCAACTGCGGTGTAATTTACAAGGGATCGTGGACCCAGAGTCGCGAATGTAGCGTAATTTGCAGGGGGTCGTGGCCTCGGGGGCGCGAAGATGGTGTATTTTACAAAGGGTCGTGGCCTCGGGGACGCGATCGTGGTGCAATTTACGATGGATCGTGGCCTCGTGGGCGCGAATACAATGTACTTCCCAATGGATGATTGCGTCGGGAGCGCTCATCTAATTTTTTTACGTGTCCCACGGCCCCGCAGGAATGCAGACAACGCGATTCGGGGGTTGGTGACTGGGCGCTTTTCGGCTCCCCCCCCGTCGCGCGGACTTCAATAATTTATTGTATGAAGCAGAAAGCAAGATTGTAACATTGGACATTGGAAAGTGGAATTGGCGCAGGGAGCAGCAAGCCTAAGACTCGCAGCCTGATGGCCCCACAAGGTGGCCAGTGGATTTGTCCTTCGAAATCCGCCTGTAGGGGGACATGCCCGACCTAAACCTATCCCCACCCCCATTGGGCCATCGTGCCTCAGCCCCCATACGGTGGGGGCGTTGGTTGAGGAATGTGCCCAGGAGGCTCCAGACCCTGGAGGATTCCTTACCTGGCGAGGGCGGCGATGGTTGCCATGGTCAAGCCCCAATTGGTGTTCGACCACCAGCTTCCAGACCTTGGATTCCTTGTTTGAGGGTTCCTCATCCAATGCCCTCACCGTACAGTCGGGGCGCTGAGGAAGGAACCCTTCTCGTTGGGGAGGGGCTCAGTGTTCCTTAATTGTGTTGTTTTTGTTCTAGGTGTTCCTTCGGTTTTCCATGGGCAATCGGAGTTCAGCTTGTTTCGGGTTCCGTGTGGCAGCACTTCGACCGTAGGCCCTGCGGGACCCGAGCGAGCAGGCGCATGTGATCCAGGGCTCTGGGCCGCCCCCCTCGTGATGATGTCTTCGCCCTTTCCCCGCACGAGGGGCCCCTCCCGCGTTCTCGTGGGCATGTGGGCGTCGTCGTCGTCGTCGTCGTCGTCGTCGGCGTCGGCGTCGGCGTCGGCGTCCTCCTCCTCCCATTCCAGCCGGGGGGTGCCGAGGAACCTCGGGACCGATCCCACCTGTGGGGGGGAGGCTGTGAAGCCTCGACTGGGGATCATGTGTGATCCGGGTCTGGGCCTACCCCCCCCATGCTGACGGCATCGGCCCCCCCCCCCCACCACGACGGGCCACCCCCCCGCCCCCTGTGGGCGTGGTGTGGTGCTGTGGGTGTGGCGTGTGTGGCGTGGTGCCGTCAACGCGCGTAGTAAGGACGCGCGCTTTTTCTAGGGGCCCTTGCGTCCTTGCCACTGCGGCCCGTCCTTTGCCGTTTTCACTGGTCGCCCGTTACCCCAAAATCCCATCTTCGGCCTCCAAGGGTCTTGCGTCCTCACCACCCATCCTTACGATATGTTTTCACTGTATACTGGTGCTCCAGGAGAGCTCCGGAGGTCGTCGCCGTCGCCGCCGCCGTCGTCGTCGGAAGGCTCCGAGGTCGGCGCCGCCGCCGCCGCCGCCGCCGCCGCCGTCGTCGTCGTCGTCGTCGTCGTCGTCGTCGTCGTCGTCGTCGTCGTCGTCGTCGTCGTCGTCGTCGTCGTCGTGGCCTGTCGTCGTCGTAGCCGCCGTCGTCGCCGTCGTCGCCGTAGTCGCCGTCGTCGCCGTCGCCGACGTCGTCGAAGTCGTCGTCCCGTCGTCGTCGTCGTTGTCGTCGTCGTCGTCGTTTCCCCCCCCCCCCCATTCCATCTGGGAGAAGTTCCTAGCCCGTCTGAGGGGGGGGCCCGTGGACCCTCGACCCCGGATGATACATGATCCAGGGTTGCCCTCCCCCCCCGCTCCCCCCCCCCCAATGCATATGTGATCGAGCGCCCCCCAGCCCCCAGGATGGGTACGCCCGGGAGCCTCGTGCCTCGCGAAGGCCTTGCGAATGGGATCGCGCCCCGCCCCACGTGGTCGAGGGTGCCGGTGCACCCCCCTCTCTCCCCCTGTAGGTGTGGGGTGGCTCGTCGTCGTCGTCGTCGTCGTCGTCGTCGTCGTCGTCGTCGTCGTCGTCGTCGTCGTCGTCGTCGTCGTCGTCGTCCGTCGGCGGCGTTGGCGTCTGCGTCGGCGTCGGCGTCGGGATCGGCGTCGGCGTCTGCGCTGGCGTCGTTGTCGTCGTCCATCCTCCCCCATCCCATCTGGGGGACATTTGCCTGTGGAACCCTGGGACCGATCCCAACTGGAGGGAGAGGGCCTGTGAACACTCGGCCCGGGATCATGTATCCCCGCTCAGGTGGGTAAGTTGGCCAGTGGGGCCAATGCCACGCCAGCGGGGACAGGGATCGGCTAAAGACGATTCGCAGAGGACCAACAAGAAAATGGAGTCCAGCAACGCCGAAATCGCGATGCATATCAACTCGTTGTCCGAGCGGCTCGCTAAGGCCGCGGGGGGGGGCCCTGGGGCGCGGGGGGGAGTCGGAGGGGATGGCCTGCAACGGTGCATCTTTCAGGCGATTGCACACATGGATCAAGGGGGCGTGGATTAGCGACGGGCTCCGTTTCCATGGAAATCCGCGAACATCCACCGCCGAACGAGGCGGCACCAGTCGCATTTTGGGGAGGGCACCTCCCCCGATCCATGCATTTGGCGACCGCGCGCCAAAATCCACGGATGGCTAACCTTAGCTCGGGCATGTCCTCCTGCAGGGGGGGTTAGGACAAAAATAGTACAGAGCCCAGAAATATTCCCAGGTGTTCAGAAAGAGTCGAAACATCGTCCCCAGACTTTTTGTTCACTATCTTTGCATATGCCTCCTGTAGAGGGGCATGCCCGACTTAACGCTAACCTAAAGTCGGGCCCGTCCTTCTACAGGAGGAAAATTCAAAAATAGTGCAAACATGAGTCTGGGAACTACTGTTTGAGTACTTTTTTGACCATGTAGGAGTTTTTTATTCTTCGTCAAGAATCCCGCTGTAGGGGGACAGGCCCGACTTAACGCTAACCCCCTCCTCCCCCTCCCCCCCGCGTGGCGCCGATACGTTGGCAGGTGAACTCGTATCGTTCTCCCTGCCCGCACTTCTCTGCCCGGTCCGAGCCCGGAGTTATTGCTGGTGTTTCCGGTCACATGCATAATTTTTTGTTCTGCCAATGCGCCGTCTGTGCGCCAGGAGCCTGTTTTTTTAGACTCTGGCAAGTTTACTTGCATGGACGGGGGGGGGGCTGAGCCTGAAGCAAGCCGCAAACGACTTGCACGTTCGGGGGGGCGCGGAAGTCACGCAAGTCGAAAGGCACTTTCACGCTAGTATTCGCTTGAAGAGGGGCGAGGGGGGGGGGGGCGAACGCCATGCAAGTAAACTTGCCTGAATCCAAAAAAAAACAGGCTCCAGGCTTTCGCTCGCTCGCGCATGTCTGCGCGCCCCCGAGTCTTCGCGCGGGGGGCGGGGGGGTATGCCCCGAGAGCGGGCGCTGCTCTGCACGCCTGCGCCGCCGCCGCCACGGCGGCGGCGACGCAGAGGCGCCCGCGCTCCCCCCCGGGGGGGCCCCGCGGGGAGTGGCGCGCGGGCCGACGCGGGAGCTCCGTCCGACGGGGGCCGGCAGCCCGCGGAGAGGCCCCCGGAGGATCGACTACACGTAAGACTGGCCCTTCGCCGGAGTGACCTTTGGTGCGGGCTCACCGGGGGTCCCCCCGACCGCTGAGCGCGATGCGATGGTGGCTGCTTGCGCCCTTGGATTTGGCCGCCTTACGCCCCCCTCAGTCCGCGCACTAAAAAGGTCACTCTTGCACAGGGTCACTCTTGCGGGTCGCCGAGAGGAGCGCCGGAGGAGGTCAGGAGGGGGGGAGAAAACGCACAGACCCAATGCATCGTCGACTCCCAGGAAGGTGTGGGGAAGTTGTGGGAAGTGGTGGGGAATGCGAAGAGCCAGAATGTATGGGAAGATATGGGGAGTCCAGGGATTTGTGTGCATTTACTGCGAAGGCCTGACGGCCGGTGCCGCCGACCCTGGAGAGGACAACGACGTCGGCGACGAAGTGGGCGGAGACGGGGGCCGTGGGAGATGAGGAGGAGGAGGAGGAGGACGAGGACGAGGACGAGGACGAGGACGAGGACGAGGAGGAGGAGGAGGAGGAGGAGGAGGAGGAGGAGGAGGAGGAGGAGGAGGAGGAGGAGGAGGAGGAGGAGGAGGAGGAGGAGGAGGAGGAGGAGGAGAGGAGGAGGAGGAGGAGGAGGAGGAGGAGGAGGAGGAGGAGGAAGGAGGAGGAGGAGGAGGAGGAGGAGGAGGAGGAGAGGAGGAGGAGGGAGGAGGAGGAGGAGGAGGAGGAGGAGGAGGAGGAGGAGGAGGAGGAGAGGAGGAGGGAGGAGGAGGAGGAGGAGGAGAGGAGGAGGGAGGAGGAGGGGGGAGGAGGAGGAGGAGGAGGGAGGGAGGGAGGAGGGAGGAGGGGGAGGAGGAGGAGAAGGAGGTGGCTTTGATCGACAGGTTGATCACACCATCATCGTGGTCAGGACTCAGGTGCCGCTGCCCAAGCAGGTGGTCGGCAACGCGCTGCAACCGTGGATCGACGACGCGAACTTGCAGGCGGACGAGTTCGAGCTCCAGGGAGATGCGGTGTCGAAAAGGTTTCAGATTCAGATTCGTGGTCAAGCAGATTATGCGGCGCGCAAGGCTAACCAAGCCCTTGGCGCACTCAAACTCCCTGGACGTGGCGGCGGATGGCGTGAGTTCTCTGCGGTCCCGCCGACCTGACGGCCCTGCTACTCGCATCAACGTCGGCCCCGACAAGAGCCCGAAAATGGTGGCAAGAGAACTTGGATGCAAGAAGGTGGCGAAGAAGCTGCTGGAGATGTACCCTGAGAGGCGCTTCCTTTCGGACAGGGAGAAGGGAGTTGTCAGCTCATCGTGGAAGGATATCGTGCAGTTCTCTCCCGCCCCTGCGGGCACGGCGCCCACGATTCACTTCAGCGACAAGAACATGGGCGAGCTGGACATGGACGCGGCGCTGGTCAGGCGCTCCATCCACAGCATCTTCGAGGACCAGAAGGATACAGAGTGGTGTCTTTAGCCGTCTGTACAAAGCGTGGCAGGCCGGCTCGCCGAGCCGACTTTCGATCAATACTACTACGTGGAACGCCACGGCGCTGTTACATCACTTTTTTTTACCCATCGAAGAAGCCCAGCGGCAGAAAGCGGCAGTCGGGGGGGAGGAGGGAGGGAGGGGGGGAAGGGGGGAAAGCAGCCCGCGCGCGGGCTGCCGGGGCACCGAATTAATCCGGCGGCCCAGGGCGCTGCACCCACCGCGCCCGCATGGCCTCCCGCCAGTCGGCCTCGCGCCCGCCAGCCCGGACCGTGGGCAACAGCAGCAGGGCTGCCGCCCGCGGCGGCAGCGCGGCGGCCCAGCCCGCGCACGGCGACGCCGCCAACCGCGGCCAGGTGGGCGCAGACGCCCCGCAGCGCATGCAGGCCACCCAGCCGGGGCCTTGCGCGGCGGCGTGGAGCTGCCAGGCCTGCCCCGCGAACAGGGCGGCGCAGCGGGCACTGCCGCCGCTGCCGCGCGCGTTGCCGGGCTGCGCCAGTGCTGCAGCAGCTGCAGGCGGGGGGCCCTGCGGCTGCGCGCCTGGCTGCGCGCCGAGCACGCCCCGGCGGCCGCGGCGCCGGCGCGGCGGCCTGCGGGCCCGAGGCGCCACGCCTGCGCTGCCGTGGTTCACCTAAGGGCGGCCAGCTCCACCTCTGCCAGCAGCCGCTGCGCGACGCCCAGCGCGCGCAGGCGGTTGTCCCGCCCGGCGACCAGGGCGGGCGGCGGGAGCCGCGCGCGCGCGGCTGCGCCCGCGAGCCGGTCAGCTGCTGCGTTGCCAAAGCGGTCTCCGTCAGCCAAGCCTCGCGCCCGGGCGCTGGCTGCGTCGAGATGTCCTTTAATCCATCGCGCGACGAGGGTCCCGCTCTGGCAGTAGGGCGCCAGCAGCTCCCAGACCTCGGCGTGCGCCCATTCCGCTGGGTTTGCCCCCGCCCGGAGGGCCGCGACCCCGTTGCTGACGAACCGGGAGTCCGTGATCACCTCCACGGGGCCCGCGGCGAGGCTCAGAGCATGCAGGGCGGCCGTCAGTTCCGCCCTCTGCGCCGTCTGGGGCCCGTCGACCGGTCCGCTGCAGTCCTGGGTGCCGTTGGGGCCGTCGAGCCGTAAGCCCCAGCCTGCCCTGGCCAAGAGCGGATCTGTCGGCCGCTCGCAGGCGCCGTCTGTCCACGCACGGCGCCGTGGCGGGCGCTGCTGCGGGTCGTGCTGGCCGGCGGGCAGCGGCGGGGGCGGAATGGGCACGCGGGCGCCCTCGGCCAGAGCGCTGAGGACCGGGTCCTCCGAGAGGACGCCCGTGCAGGCGGTTCCCGGCGGCAGGGCCGCGCGGAGGCCTTCCGGGCGAAACCCGGTGCCGCGCAGAGCAGTCGCTCGCGCCTCCTGCCAGCACGGACACCGCCAGAACCGGTGCTCTGGATCCTCGTCGGCCACCCGGCAGTGGGGGCACAGCGCCGGTTTGCCCCACTTGGCTGCCACCGACTGCGTGACGACGCCGCCCGCAAGCACCGTGCGCAGCGCGCCCGCCAAGTCTGGCGCGAGCTTTCCTTCCTCGAGCAGCCTGCGCGTGGCCCAGCGGTCCACCCCGCCAGCGAGGTGCCCCATGTCGCCGCGGCGGGCGGCAACTGCGGCTGCTTCGCGGCGGGCCCAGGCGGCCAGGAGCACGCCTCGCGTTTCCTGCAAGGAGTGCTCTGCGGGGCGCCACCCCGCCGGCACGGCCGGGACGCCTGTCCAGCTTTCGACGTCGTGCCCAAGCCGGAGCTCCGCAAGGCTGCGCACGGCCGCCGAGATCGGCCCATTCTGCCGCCCGTGCCCCGCCGCGATGGCGCCGGCCGCGCTGCGCCACCGCTGTGCTGGGAAGCGGCCGCGGCGGATCGCCTTCGCGATGTGCCAGAGCGGGGCGATGGTCGCCACGGCAGCCGGGTCGAGGCGCCAGCTGGGGCTGAGGACGCCGAACACGACCTCCGCGGCCGCCCGGAAGCCACCGCGACGACATACCGCGTGCCGCGCTGCCGCGCGGAGCCCCCGCAGCTCGGCCTCTGGCGGGCGCCCGCACGCCGCGCCGTACAGGCCGGCAGCCGTGCCCGCCGCCGCGCCCAGCAGGCACCGCTGGCCGAAGCTGATGGGCAGCCTGGCGATGCGGGCAAAGCGGGTTCTCGCGTCAGCCAACCGGCCCCCCGCCACGGCACTGCGCCTGGCCTCGCCTGCGACGGCGACCACCCCCAGGTCCCGGATGGTGGTGCCTGCTGCCAGCGCTGGAGTCTGCGCGGCAAGCCAGCGTCGTAACTCGCTAGCGAACTGCCGGCTTTTCCTCCGGTTCAGCTCCCAGCCCATGGCGGTCTCGAACTCCAGCGTCACGACCAAGGCGCCCTGGACAGCCT